GGGGGGAGGAGGGAGGGAGATTGAGATTTCCATTTAACAGCTGATAGCAGAATCCCTCACAGGCAGGGATTAGGGGAGGTGCAGCCCCGAAGGAAGCAGCAGCTGTGGAAATTCCCCCGTTGGGGAGCCCGAGGGTCCCTGTGAGCTGTCCTGTTCTCCTTGGAGAGACAGGGACAGTCCTCAGCCTGGGCCACAGCACAGAGCAGACAGGCCATGTGCTGGTGGGGTTGGGCAGGGGGGCGCAGCCCCGCCCCCTCCCTGCCTAGTTCTGCAGACCGGCTTGCTGGCTTGGAATAAGCAGGGTCCCAGCCTGGCCGCTGCATCTCTGCTGTGACCGTAAGGTGGGCGGGTGGGGGGTCCCCACTGTTGAGAATAGTGGCTGGGTCACAGGGTGGGATGGCACCACCCCTTTTTTTTCTTTCAGTGATTGTTGTTGCAATCGCAATTTTTTTTGTGAAATAAAAACAGGAAGAAGGGGCCAGGCAGATGGCTCAGTAGAATAAGCGCTTGCCTGGCAAGGGCAAGGACCTGAGTTCAATCCCTGGTTCCTCCAAAAAATAAAAAATAAAACAAAACAGGAAGAAGCTGGTGAGCCAGTGGGTGTCATTTGGTCAGATGAGGAAATTTCTTCATTCCTTACTGACCCTTGTCCTTGCTACCCATGTTCCAACAGGGAAAGGGTGTGCCAGAGATGGGGGTGGGAGGATCCCTGTGTGTGTGCGCGCGCCTAATACCAGGTCTCCACACACAGGCTCTCTTTTCACCATCATAGAAATTCCACTGGTAAAGTCAGTGCACCCACTTTGCAGATGAGGAAACTGAGGCTCAGACAAGTCCCATTGCGGGTACAGACTGAGCCAGGGAGTCAGACCCTGACTTAAGCCTGGAGGTGGTGGAGCTCAGGCCCTGGGACTCACCGTGTAGATGGATTCTGCAGTAGGCTGTATGGGTGTGCAGGCAGATCTTGAGTCTGGACCAGACTGGGTGGGATTCTTCCTTGGAGCCAGGTTTTGTCTCTACCAGAAGAAAGGAGCCAGGGCTGTAGGGACTGGAGACACGCAGCCCTGGCTTCCCTTCATGAACCCCACCAGGGAAAGGATGGGGGATTCGGACTGTCCATGAGGCTACACATGAGGAAATCATTCAACACATCCCGCTCCAAGACCCAGATCAAGCCGCTTGTGGGCATGGGGCCAGAGAAAGGATGACAGTCCACACAGGCACTGGTGTGGGCAGGGCATAGCTCAGGAAGGCACTGCACCTGGTGGCAGTGCCTGGGCCTGCGCCAGGCTGGGGTCCCTTCTGGCCCTCACTGGCCCTGGCCTGGAGTCCCCACTGTCCCTGGACACGGTGCCTCTACCCATAGTGGCCAGCCAGCAGGTGCCTGGCACTCCCCTGGCACCTAGGAAGCAGTCTGTCACCAATATGCCCTTGTAGATGCCTCTGTCAGCCAGACACCAGGAAGCAGGGACACTGTCCAGCACTGCGTGTGTGGTGACAGCAGGGACTGTCTTTTCCTGCAGCTGCCATGCTCACGAAAGTCAAAGCTAGGGCAGCCAGCGGGGCTGGGGCGATGGCTGAGGACACGGGTAGGCGGACCGGACGTCCCCTCTCATCGCAGGCAGCAGAGCGGCAACGGCCTCCTCTGGGGCAGAGCTAATTAGAATCCCTGGCCGCCAGCCAAGCCCCAGCCCATTTACTCCAGGATTAGCTCTCAAGAGCTACTCAGCTCACAGGCAGAAGCCCGTGCCACCCTGGTCGCAGCGTCCGAGTGCTGGGAGCACAGAGTCAGGCAGGACTCTGCTCCATCTCTGCATCCCTCAGCAAACCTGCAGGCAAGTCCTCGGGCCCTCCTCGTTCCCCATGCCAGGAAGGAAAGGCTCAGAGAGGATGGAGGGCCTGGGAAGCTGCCCAGCCGGGAGGCGGCGGCTGCAGGGTTTGAACTTAGAATGCCAGCTGGCAGGCAACACCCGCAGGGCAGAGAGGGCGGCCCGAGAAGCAGGTGGGCCACCTTGCTGGGTGCTGAGCATGGCACTGCCTGTCACTGGAGCATCCTCCTGCAGAGGGTGAGCGCTAAGTGGCCAAGTCCTGGCCCAGAACCCCACGCTCCACACCAGGGTGCTGCTTCGGCAGCTCAGGAAGCCTGCGGAGCTTGGTTGGCCTCCTGCGAAATGCAAGCAACCCAAGGCCTTACGCATGCATGCCTTGGCCACCTCCGACTCGGCTTTCTGCTATCTCTGTACATGCATTCCTACTGTGTGCTGGGCTTTCCCAGGCACTGGGGACAGCCCATCCCTGCCCCCCAGGGGCTGCACTCTGATGAGGACAACATATGCCTGGGAGCCCAGGGTGGGCCAGGACCACCTCCAACCCTCATGTCGGCTGTGGCCCTCACAACTGTTCCCACAGCAGGAGTCACGGAGGTGCCATCAGGGCACCTAGGGTGCCTGGAATCTGCCGTCCTTCCACAACCCCACCATGCAACTCCCATGCTTGGCACCCCAATGGGGAAACTGAGGCAGGGAAGACTCCGGGAGCCTGTCGGAGCTCACAGCACTGGCAAGTGGCACAGGGGGAGGGGGCACAAGCCCTGAGGCTATGCTCTTAACCCTCCACAGTCTGTCGCTTCTTTTCACAGCTAACTTGTCCCAGCTGGCTATCAGGCACCTGTCCCACCTGCAGCTTTAGTCTGCTATGTGACCTCTGGGCTCCTGGGCTCTACCATGGGCCTGGCATGTAGTAGGTGCTTAGCTAACTCAAGGAATGAACGCAATGCTTTAGTAACAACTGTGAAAGGGCTCTGCAAGAACTTGCTGAGGACCTACTATGTGCAGGGCCCTGTGCTCGAAGCTGGGGCTGCAGCAGAGAACAACCAGAGACAGGCATGGCACAGGAAACCACAGCGTCTGGGTGGCAAGGAGAATTCAGGGAGCTCCAGGGGCAACACCTCTGCCCAGGGAGGTGCCATCCACAGAATGAGCCAGAGCCAGCCAGGCAGCGAGCCAGAGCAACCTGCCCTCCACCTGTCCTCCAACCCCAACTCCAGCGCTTGCTGTGTGACCCCAGCCAAGTCACAACCTCTCTGAGCCTTGTTCTCCGGAGCTGGGGGATGGCAGGGAGCTCCCCGCACAGCTACGGAGGGGAACAAGTGAGAGTGTGTTGGAGGGTGCTGGGCGCACTGTGTCTTGCACCTTCTGGGTTGCTGGGCTCAAACCAGAGCGATAAGCACGAGGACCTGCATCCTGTGTCAGACTCTCAGAGGGACACATGGCCTAGTGCAGCTCATTCCCAACAATGAGGTGCTGAGCATGTGCACACCTGCAATGCCAGCACTCTAGAAGGCTGAGGCAGGAGGATGTCAAGTTTGAGTCCGGTCTGAGAGAGCCTATCTCAAAATAAAACATAAAAAGGGCTCTGACTGTCACTCAGGGCAGAGGCCCTGCTCCAATCCCCAGTACTGGGGAGATGGAAAGGGACTTGGTAGGTCAGGCTCCACCACAAGGGGCAGGCCAGGGAGAGACACCTTCTGTAGGGCCCCAGGTCCCATGGGCAGACAGACAGCCCCTGCACCATGAGGCCTCCCCCCGCCTGGTTCTGGTGAAGGCTACGTCCCTGCCATGTATGACTGTCCCATACCTTCTTCCAGAGCAGCAAAGCCGTGCCTAGCACACTCAGCACAGCCAGCAGGGCAGTGAAGCCACACAGCAGGGGCTTCTGGGAGCTCGGTGGAGGGGGTTGGTAGCCCACGTCTAGGAGGAGACAGGAAAGCAGAGCTTAGCTCCCAAGAAAGTCGGGACCTACCTGGACCCCTGACCTCCAGACCCCAAAGCCCTGTGTTATCCTTCTCCCAGGACCCATTGCCCACCCTCCCCCACAAGGCCCTGTGCCCCCCCAGATGCCCCCAGCCCCACCTCAGGTCTTCAACTTTTCCCTGCACCAGGGATGGAACCCACAGTGCCGTACAACTGAGGCATTTCCCAACCTTTGTATAATTTATTCTGGCAGAAGGATTTTTTTTTTCTCTGAATGCCTTCAGGGCAGGTTTGGCTGGCTTGAGTTGTGGGGATCGAACCGCAGCAACCTGAGGCTGACAGCTTTGTGGAAGCAGCCACTTAAAGAACTGAGCCAGGGCCAGGCCCCCTGTATAATTTATTCTGAAACAGTGTCTTGGTAGTCGCCCAAGCAGGACTCAGGCTGCAATCCTCCTGCCTCAGCCTCCCGAGTAGCTGGGGTTACAGATCTCACCGTCACACCCAGCTCAGGTCCTTACTCTCCTGCTCACGTTAGTAAGTCCCCTACTTACTGTTGACTGGCTTGAATCTCTTGAAGAAGAGCGAGCCTGGGCTGGTGAGATGGCTCGGTGGTCTAAAGCACCCACTTAGAACAAGCTAAGCTAAGCAAAGCACAGGAACCACGGTTCGGTCCCCAACAACAACAGCCAACCAACACCGCCCCCTGGTGGGCTGAGCTGGCCACACACAGCCTGTCCAGAAGAAGGACAAGGACTGTGACTGCTCCTGCCTCAATGAGCCGGCTTCACCAAGAGCTGTCTGGAGGCCCCTGGGTGAGTCATGTGATCTTTGGAGCCTTCCCTTCCCTCCATTCAAAACGATGCTAAATGTGGGCAAGTATGCTGACAGTATAAAGTCAGCGTTTATTCTACTGAGCTATCTCCCTGGACTTGAAAGTCACAGTTTTGTACCCAGACTGACAGGAGCTTGCACCATGGGTGATGGGCACATGGACTCTTTTTTTTGGCGGAACCGGGGATTGAACTCAGGCCCTTGCGCTTGCCAGAGAAGTGCTTATGCCACTGAGCCACCTCCCCAGCCCTGGTACATGGACTCTTGATTTCCTGAAGCTCTCGTCCATCCATCCTGCCCCTCCTCCCTCCATCCCATAGAGTTTATGGAGCTAGGGGTTGCATTACATGCCTGCGATCCCAGCACTCTGAAGGGTCACAAGTTAGAACCCAGCCTAGGGGCTGGGGAGGCCCGCGTTTTCCCATCAGATCCTGCACCCCACTGGCTGCAGCCCAGGGGTGCTCTCACCTCTCACCAGGATGAAGGTGCCGCTGCCCCTCACCACGGTGCTGGGCCACTGCACGCAGCAGTAGTAGGTGCCAGTCGCCGATGCATCCGGCAGCCTGAGTTTGACTGAGCAGAGCAAGGTGTAGGTTTGGTTCTCTGCACCCGGGCCAGCGTGGCAGGGTATCTGCTTCTCTGGGCTCTTCTGGCCCTGGAGATCTATGTGGAAGTAGCTGACAGTGAAGTCCTTGAGCGCTGGGGTGTTCCGATAGGTGATGCTGCACCCGAAGGAGGTGTCCGTGTTGGCCAGGGAGACCATGATGGGGAGGCCGATGTGACCCACCGACTGCCCTCCTGCATGAGAGGCGACAGGAGAGAGGCACAGCTTTCCAGAGGCTGCCTCAGCACACAGGGCTCAGCCCAGGCACTCCACATGCAACCCCATCCTGCTGGGGTACCCCAGGCCAGGCAAGAGCCGGCACGTCCAGAGAGACAAGGCCACCAGCTTCCGACCCCGCCAGTCCCTGGCAGGGACAGAATTGTGCTGCGACCACATCCCAGGCCGGGAGAGAGCGGAGCCTGAGTTCCCAGCTCCTTCCTGAAGACAAGACCAAGACCTGCAGGAGAACGGGAGACTGAGGCAGGAGAATGAAGTAAAGGGGCGGGCCTCCCCAGCACTCTCCTGGGGCTGGAGCAGGTGGACAAACCTTTCCCAGAACTGGAACTCAGAGGGCTTGTCCGCTTTCTGTGTGGCACCAGAGCCATTCCTGGGGCCGCCTTCCAGAGAAGCGGAGGTGCTCCCCATTGCCCGCTTGGGCTGCAGTCTTGGACCTCAGTATCCATGGCAAAGCCTGTTCTGCCGTGGACACTCTGCCCCACCCCCACACATCAGAAGCCCCTTGTACCTTGGGGACACAGCCTGAAAACCTCCAAAGCAGCAACCTTGCCTGGCTGGGTCCCTGGCTGCTCCCACAGGCTTTGGGGGTGCTGTTCAGATTGGGCTGGGGCCCAGGGCCAGGAGCGACCTCAACTGACCTGGGCTGCAAAGGACCCTGGGCTTTTTTGGCCCCTGCGTGCCTGGCCTGTGCTTCTTCAGCTGCAGAGCTGAGCAGCAGACAGTTTTAAATTGAGGCTGGCAGCAGGCAACTAAGAACACGCAGGCCACGTGTTAATCGGGAGAAGATTGCGTGTTTGAGATGCTCAGAGGGAGCCTCAAGATTTATTTGCCCGAGAAAGTGAGGTGTGGGCCTCCTGCCCATGGTATGGGCTGGCACAAGGCCAGCCTGGTCTCTTCTTGGTCCCTGCAGCTCAGCTGTGAGCCAGATTCCCGGGAAGGGGCCCCAGGAGAAGTCAGGCCTTCTGCAACCCTGGAGCAGGGGTAGAACTGATCTTCCAGCTGGTTAATACTGCACAGTTCTGGATAGACCGATATTTCTGGCTTCACATTGAGCCACTAAAGAGACACACCCACCCCTATGCACATATGGGAAGGCTGCAAAGTCCAGAAACCTGCTGTCACAGCAGGTTGGCTTTGTCATAATTAATATGACAAGGCCCACTTTGGGAATGGCCACTGAGCTGGCACCCAGGTCAGGAGCCCCTGTCCCAGGCTTCCCAGGGAGCAAGGGGAGGAAGAGAGATTGTGCTGTCCCTGGTGTCTCTAGACTGTGTCATGGGATGACTGTGGCTTCGCAGCAAGATAGCATCGCTGTCATAACATGAGGAGCCCTAATTCTGGGCAGAGGTAGTGTGGGAGGGAGCAGGGAGCACGGGGGGCCCCAGGTGGGGAGGTGGCTGCCACCTGATCTCACAGGGTCCCGGGTGGGCTGGGAGGACAAGGAGCTTGGTGCTCCACCTGGGGCCCTCCACCCTGAGCTCTCTGCCTGCAGCTGCTACCTGCGGCCCCCATCTCCTCATGCGTCCCACGCCTGTGTCCCTCAGACTTGGTTCAGGAGCTGCTCAGCAGCTTGCACTGGCATCTTCCATCTGTGGGGCTGCCAGGAGCCTGGTTTGAGTGGTTGGATCCTAACCAAAGTCCTTGCCAGGGAGCTGGCAGAGACCTCTGGCCCCCAGGACCTCCCTGCTGCTTCCCTTGTACCAAAGAAGCCACTCTGGGCGGAGGTGCCGTCAGTGTTCTGTCTTCCTGTTCGTCCAAGCAGGAAGACATTTATCCCGTTGCCTTGAAAACGCCCCATCTGAGGTATCTTCCTAGAAAACGACGGGATCTGCTAGTGCAGTTACACTGATCCTGTCATTGTGGGGAGCTCTATAAAAACAGACATCCATTGTTCCACAGCTTTCGGGGATTTGTTGTTTTAAAGTCAGAAGGTTTGGTTCATGAAATGTCACCCCTGGCTCAGCTGGACCTGGGGGTCAGAGGCTCCAGAGCCAGGGACTCTGCCTGCTGATGACACTGCTGTCTCTGAAGGAGAGCAGAGGAGGCACAGTCTGCTGCGACCCCCAAAAACAATAGTTGTCTGGGGACAGCGGCGGAGGAGGGTGCTCAGGGAGGGGGGAGGTGTGGATGGCAGCCCTTAACCCCCTGTTAAGGTTCTTAGCAATTTAGTTCCAAGTCCACAAATCCCTTCCCAGTGGCTTCCATAAACACATAAGGGGGTACCAGTCATCACAGGGGCTCCTGATGACCCTGGTGCTGGAGGGGTGCCAGAAGACAGGACAGGACACCCCAGTGACAGGGCCCTGGGACATGGGGAAAGAGAGACAGGGGAGTAGGACCAGCCAGAGACTGGAAGCTCAAAGACTCTTGGGGCCACCATCTGGCCCAGCCCTGCCCAAGTTTGGCCATGTCCTGTCTGGCCCCTAAATCCTCCCTTGCTTCTCCGTACCCCCACACAACTGCAAGGACAGACACCCCAGCTGGGCTGGACAGACCACCCCCACCTCACCAAAGATCTCAGGGGTGACGCCCCTGTACCCCTGTATTCTCTGTGTGTCCGGGGACTACAAAAAGCTGGGGCTTGCCCAGAGATGGGGGTGGGTGGTGAAACCCAGGTCCCTGATGCTGCAGGTCCACACTCTGATGCTGGCTCTGCCGCTGACAGGCTGTGCAGCCTTTTGCGGGTGTCTTCACTTCTCTGACCATCACCGCTTCCCCACACCACATGGTGTGACAACACCACACTTACAGGGGTGTGGAGGGGCTCAGTGGAGCCAGGCAGGCAGTGCGGCCAGGCCACTTCTTTCCATGGGACAAGAAAGAAGCAGGAGAGTCAGAGATGTCAGCCAAGCCCAACTGCCTGCCTGAGAGACAGGACCACGACCCAAGGGCCACAGGAGCCACAGAGGTCAGTCGCTGCCCCAGGTTTGCCCATCACCCCAGGCCCTATCCCAACTGGCTCCTGCTGGCCCCTGCTGGCCCCTGGGGTGAGTGTGGGGTTCTGAGACAGATGAACCCAGCTCCTCCGGCCCCTTCCCTCCTGCCAGCTCTGTTCCCCCTTGCTGGGAAAGACTCTGCCTACCACTGCAGGCACACACAATTCCTTCCTTTTCCACCTTTTCTTGTGACCTTGGCTGTCTGGACCCCTGTTTGGTGGTGCCTGGTGGTGGATGCCCCTCTGCGGGCCCTGTGCAGACTCCCCGGGTGCCCACCCCAGCAGCCTTCCTGTGCTTGCCCATGATCAGGACCCCAGCCCGGCCGGGCACCCCGTCCAGCCCCATCCTGCCCAGACAGAGCTGCCTCTCCTGGCTCCAACCCCCCACCCCCACCCTGCTGCTCCCCAAGATGCTCGCACTCATCCTTCCCCTGTGCTGCTGATAGTGGCAGGGGCTCCCCCTGGGTGAGGCCCAGGAAGGATTCTGAAATCAGGTTACAGGGTCACAAGAAGCAATTAAAACACATGAACATCAAGCCACTCCCAGAGGACTTCACGACCTTCTGGGTTCGGTTAGATTCACACAGCTGGATCAGACGAGTTCACACTAAGACATGCATCGGGCCGCTGTTTAAAAAACCCTGAAGAGCTGGCCAGGTAGCTCAGCAAATTAAAGCACCTGCTTAGGCAGACGCAGGGACCAGGGTTCAATCCCTGGTGTGCCATGTCAGCCCTGCGCTAAAACAGCAATTGAGACAGTGGTGCATGTGCCTGTAATCCCAGCACTTGGGAGGCTGAAAACAGGAGGATCATGAGTCTGATCTGTGTAGTGAGACCCTGTAGACCCTGTAGACCCGGTACTAAATACATAAAAAAATTTAAAAACCCTGAAAATCCCTGGCATGGAGGATCTGTCCCACCTATTCCCCCTGCTTGGAAGGCCTCTCTCCCCACCTGTCCCCCACCTTCAGGCTTTGGGGTCATCCTCTCTGTCCCGAGGACCTGTGGCCCTCTCTGGCCACTCCTGGGTGGGGTCCCCAGCATGGCACATACTCTGGGGGATCATGGAGCTACATGCTAAGAATAGCTGACATTGAATGTGATCGATGATGTACAGTGTGCCTGGGGAGAGTCACATGGAGAGAAAAAACATTCTCTCAGGCTTTCACAGAGAGCAAACTGGCCAAGCAATGGCCGTGACTCATCCTCATGGCTGACACTGACAAAAGGATGTACAAAGGGCGGTACAGGGCTGCAGGATAAATCCTGGGGGTACTTGACTGACCTTATCAGATAGAAAAGTTACATTTCTTGTTATTGCTTTATCTTGGTCTTAGCCATCCAGCAGAAAAGTATAAAAATGAGGTATATAAAGTAAAGCCATAAAAAAATAAAGTAAAGCCATATTAATATGATGAGCTGTGAAAGGCTCAAGTCAATAACTTCTGAGGATAACCCACTAATATTATAGACTGCTAGATGGTGTTAGATTGTTTAGCTGAATTCAAACACCTATAGTATTTAGATGCCAATAGAATACCCACCTCTGACAGGACTAAACAAAAAAAGGGGAATACAGAGGAAAGATCATTATGTATTTGTATATACAAAATAGTTAGGATAGATATACAGCTACTTTCACTTAATTCAATGAGAAGAAAGAGGTGTACTAACAGTGTTTGGATAGGAAATCCCGTCTGCTTCTTGTACTATGGATAACCACTAAGAAGATAACAATGTACAATGTATTGATTATTGAAACTATCCTATTAATCAGCTTTGAAACTGTCTCATTCATATTTGTTTATCAATAAAATTAAAATAAAAACATATAAAAAAAGAATAGCTGACATCTCCTGGGCATGACTCCCTTTTGCAGCTGAGGAGGCTGAGGCTCAGAGGTTTGCCTGCACGGCCCAGCTGGCAGGTGGCAGGGGTGGGATTAAAACGGGATTCCTCCAAGTCCCCCACCCCACACCCTTACCTATGGTTCTGCACTCTGGTTTTAAAAACCTCTAAGCAAGCAGAAGAAAAACTTCCCAAATAAAAGAAGTGTACGCTTTAATGGGAATCCAAACCTCAGAGGCCACTGCGAGGCCCCTCAGAGGTACGCATGGGCCTCTGGGGGTAGCAGGACTCAGAAATAACTCTGCACACTAGGGGCTGCGAGTGTCACTGCAGCTCAACGACAGCCTGGGGCTTCCAGAACAGATGGAAGTGGCCCTGTGAGCCCTCCACAGACGATCCTGGGTCAGGCCAGACAAGAATGTGCATGTGAATAATTTGGTATGAATGATTGAAAACTGCACCAATGGGCTGTCTGAGCTTCCCCTCACCCCACTGTCTCGCAGCCCCCTATCCCCGCTTCCGCCCCTGCTCTCGTTGCCCTGGCCTCCCTGGCTGCTCCTCAAATCCACCGACTCCGGCTGGGGCCTTGGCCTCAGCTCCCCCCTGCCTGGAATCGAATCCTTCCCCGGCCCTGAGCAAGGGCGCGAGGACCCAGATGTGCTGATCAAAGGTATCCAGCCCTACTGCAGTCGATTTTAAAGGAAAACACTTTGATCCCCAGTTACAGACGGAAGCCGTTCCCACGGTCTTTACTTCAGGCCTGGAGTTCGTCCTTCAATTTAATTTTGGCATCTCTGAGCTGCGCCTTTTGAAGGGCCTTCTGAAGGACTTCTGGGAAGACCCTGGCAGCAGCTACAGGTTTATCCCTGAGCACAGTTCCACAGAGTCAGGACATTGGCTTCGAATGCCGCGGCCAGGCGGCAGGCATCGGAAGGTGTCCTTTCAACAGAGTGTGTCTGATGGAGCCTCCAGCCCAGATGGCGAGCTCACACTGGACCTCCTATCTGTCAACACCTCTGAGTCACACATATCCAGATGTGGGCTGGCTCTGAGCCCTTTCCACAGCCTGTCCCCAGGCTGCACATGGCTCTTCAGGGACACAACCCAGCCAGTGTCAAGGGCTTCGTCCCGTATAACTGGGTTTGCTTGTTTATTTATACCTGCTACCTCCCTTTCAACTGCTGAGTCTTGGGCCAGCAGGGGACATGGCCTCTGGCCACACCCAGTTCTAACCTCTAGAGGGT